GGAAGGCTTTCAGCATATAAATATCACATTACCACACAAGGAAACGCAGGCATCAGTTTGAGCTTCCAGCAGGCCTAACAAGCACAGGAGCTCCACTCTGGAGGTCAGAGGCAGAGCTTACACAAATGGAATTCCACAGGAACCAGCACTTCTTTTAACAGATAAGTGGCTGTAGCCTTGCAGCTGTGTGATGTGGTATAAGCCTGGTTTCAGTTATCTCACATGTGCTAGTGTGCACAGATGTACCAAGCTGCAGTATATATAATATATATATACTGAGCTAGAATAAGATTACATACACAATTCCACAAAAATAGGCTTGAAGCCACAGTGAAGAACAACTTAAAGCCTCGTTTTATTAACTGACCAATGCACAGCAGATTAGATTAGATGAGATTAAGGTAGCGGGAAAGGCAGACATAGAACAACGCTCAGCTATTTTGGCAGTATGAGTCTGCGATCAGTAAAATCTGAACTGTGAAGCATCTGACTCAGCAACCCATGTTCAGTAAAAGGGGGAAAAAGATGTACTGCAGTATATTCAGAGAGACACCTGATCGTCTTAAACTCAGCAGGTCTGCAGCAGGACAAATACCCCAACCATACCACAGCGAGGGCCATAAAGAATTATCAGTGACAAGAAGACCGAGGAGTCCTGCAACAGATGGTATGGTTCCCACAGAGCCCTGATCTCATCAACACTGAGTCAGTCTGGGATTACATGAAGAAGCCAAAGGCACTGAGGCAGCCTAAATCCTCCGGAGAACTAAGATGCTGGGAAGAACCTGCTAGTCAAAAAGTGCTCACACCACGTTCCGACTTTAGATTTGTTGTTTTTGTGTCATATGTGTCATGCTGAGTGGGTTATTCCAGAATTACTTAATTTTGTATGTGCTTTTTTTTTTATTACTGTTAATTATTGCGGTATAATGGCTCTTTGACTTTGACAAACAATAAATATATGCATATGCCGCTGTTGTCAACTAAACATATATGCTGATGGTATACTATAACATATATATCTATCCATGCAGCAGATGAACACCATAAGAAAACCATTTTATATTCTTGCTTTTTATATAAAATCTTCTTATATTTACTTGCTATGCTGTAAATAAGAGTTTCACCTGAGTTAGCACTCACTTCAGTGCTTGCATTTCCTTTTAAAACCCAAATGTAAGTTTTGACTCAGTATGTTGGCAAAGTATCGTTAACTTCTAACATTAATATTTGCTTTATTCTAGTAATGAAAGCGTGACAGTGAGCATGCTCAAGATCAATACCCTAAAAGTGAAGCTAACTGAAATTCAGCCGCCATCCTGATTATTTTAACTTGTGTTATTCCTGCTGTGACACATCAAAGCCTGTTCTTGTCTAACAACAAAAATAAATAAATCATTCGTGAAATAAAAGGTAAATTTCTTTGCTCTTAAAGTGGAATAAATGACAAAAGAAAAAACAAAACAAAAACTGAGTCTTTAACAGTTCGTTTCGAGTCATGTCACGAATATGCATTTAACTGATAGGTACGTGAGCTGGGAAATGTGTTACATGCCAGCCGTTAACAGTTCTGAGGTCAAACAAATATGCTTATCTGAGATACCACAGACTGGATTACTGTGCAAAAAAAGAATGATGCAACTTACAGATTACTATGTTAATATTTTATCATTAGGAAATGTGTAGGGCTCTTTGTTCAGATAATGCATGTACAAACCTCCCTCACACACATTGCCCACTTTGACTTCTTGTCCTCTTAGTCATATCATATGAATGAAGACCTTTTTTTTTGTATTCACTAAGACATGTATCTCTGCAGCTGGTGATCTGGTCTTTGAAACAGGGTAACAAATCAGACCTTAAATGAGAGTATGGATTGATCCAATCAATTTTTTCACTGCAGGAGTAAGTAGATGTGTGATTCAAGCTCTGCATGGGGTCTGATGTGCCTTTGTCTGTGCTAGAAGCTTTCGTGGAGATAGAGAACACATATGTGGATGTGTTGATTTATGTATATAAAAAAAAAAGGGGAAAAAAGAAAAGAGAAATTCCTTCTGACTTAAAGCAGCTTTACTCAACATAAAGAATCTGTAACATTTTTACCACCTATAAAGCTGCTCAGATTGGCTGCACCTCTCTGTTGATGCTTAATTATCTCACTTAGCCTTTTGCAGCAAAAACATTCCCATTTTCAATCTGTAACATACCCATCTCTATCCCAACCCCCCTCTGCAGCAGGCAGGTCAGGCATACATCTCCACCCATTGCTGAGTGAGCACTGGGGGGTAGGAGTGGAGAGACAGAATACAGATCATAATGGCTGGCCAATTATCAGTACTAAGGGGGGGATGGGAAGCTGGGAGGAGTGAGAGATTACAGGGAGAACGGATCAATACACCAGTCAGTTTCTAATGAGGGAAAGAATTGGTCCAAGTCAAGCAGATGGAAATCCTGCTCTGCCTGAGGTGGTCTTTCTGCACTGTCTGTCAGCAGGGTTTCCGGGTTTTGGTGTTGTGCAATAGCGCCCCAACAGAGGAACGAGTGCAATGACACAGAATCGTCGATCAGTGACATTTAAGCGTTAAAAACATTTTTTTCCATTTCTGTGAGTCAGTAGTGTTTCTCTCATGCTCTCCTGATCTTCCCACATTCCACTTTCCCTGAATATTTCATACATCATGAAGAGACAGATTTAGAAGAGCCTGAAGAATAATGGCTGTCTGTCCTTCACCACCCCCCTTTTAACCACCCACAGCTGCCAGCACAGGACAGTAAATCCTACACCTCACCCACTCTCCCAACCCAGCAGTGCAGCTATGTGCTACTATACACTAGCACAACATGCCCTCTTCTACTTACACAAAAGGAATCAAGATTCAAACGCTAAACCATTAATGGCTTTTCCTTTTTTCCAAAATGTCGACTCCAATAGGCAAAAGCTAACAGTTCAGCACCATCATTAGGCATTTGGTGCTGTTATTCTTTTCTATTCTTTTCTAGTTGGTTCACTTTTTTTCTACATGTGTCTTGCTTTCTTTTTTTCTGAGGGGCCTTGTGTGAGGTGGGGGTGTTATTTATGGCTGCTCTGTGCAAGTGGTCACACATACACACACACATACACACACCCTTTCACAGGATGAAAGGGCAGCCACACTGCCTGCAAACATGATTTTACAGCCCTGGGTGGAATGAGTGGTGGAGGAGAGAATGAGGACAGAGTACAAAAGGGGAAAGCCCTTAGATTTACAGGTCCCAGCAGTCAGAATGCAACCATGAAACAGGACACATTTTTAAGGCTATTTTTTTCTTTCAACCAAAAACACAGCTTCTCAGAATTAAAAAAAAAAAACAAAAACTGCCTTTATGCAGGGAGATACTGTGTGTGTATGCAGAGATGTGCAGAAATACAACAACCCACAAGCAGATTATTGCCTTTTCTGTGTGTATGAGTCTTTTTTTTAAGACTGTGCAGTTTCCAAATGTGATCTGCTTTTGTTTATCACTAAAGATGGCAGAAGATCATGTATGCACATGTGCAAGAGGTTTTGCAGCTTTGCAGGGTGAGAGCATGTTTATGCAATGTGTAGAATTTGACGAATTCCCCCCACTTAAATAGTTCAACAAGACTATTCTACATGGATGCGAGTGTATCCGTGTGTTACGATATATATTGAGTATGCCAGGTAGAGGTGAAGAGTACAGAATAAAAAGTAACTAATGTAATCAAATAAGGCATGTACCTAAAGATGAAAATTTAAAGGAAAAAACACAACGTTCCTTGGTGAAGTGTTATAATAACATATAATACACACATTTAATAGTCTGTAAAAGAATGATTTGAGACAAGCAGTGTCTTGCAAAGCCGGGGGCAAAACAGCCAAATGAAGATGGCAATGCAATTAAGTTTAAATGTGTTCCATTCACAGCAAATGGGGAGAGCCACTCTGTTTCCACATAATGCTGTAATAGGGTGCATTTTCCAGCTTATATCTGGTAACACTGCAATTAATTCAACTGATTTAGGTGCAAAAGCTCAAGTAAACAGTTTATTAGTCCTACAAGGCAACAGTGACCATGGCACTAATGGAGCAGCAGCATTATTTGCTACATCACATGTTCACAGTCACTCTAACAGTGTGAACTAAGAGGGGGGGGAGGATTTCATTTCAAGTAGAATCGCTTTCTCCTGTGAACATATCTGAAATACACACAAAGACTGGTACCACTGTAAAATGTACATACCACCACTCTGGTGGGAGGTATTTTGGTGTAACGAGAGCTTGTATTTGGTTTCTGTGGTGGATACTGCCCCTAGTGTAACACTGTAAACTGGCAGGGAGGTGTTGTGAAAAGGGTGGAGTCTGCTCTCTGCTGACAGAAAGTGGCACTGCACCAAATTACTCACAATTACACAGAACAGCCAACTACACAGTCATTAAACAGTACTGACATGAAAGGACTAGAGCTTGAGATCATACTTATTACTCAAAATTATCCACTGGGCATTTCAAACACAATGAGAAGTCTCAATGTTTTTACAACCACTACTGTTTTTGCTATAACTGGAACTGAGTCATTACTTAACAGAGTTCTGAATGAAAAGACTTATTACAAAACTTTGTCTCTAACTTAATACAAGTTAAGTGTTTGATGCGTCACTTTAACACTGTCTCCAAGGCTCACATGGACAAATACATAAACCCTATATATGGCCTTTTTCATGTACAAACCCAGAATTTATTGACATTTTCTCAAGTGAATTAATTTATACTTTAAATGTACAACTACTTTAGATCACAACTAAGCACAAATGATGACAGGAAGGCTGTCATCTTTAATCCAGTTGCAGACATTTCATGTTTCTGTGAACCCACGACTGACTTCAAACAGAACCCATAATACCAATCGGTCATAAGGAAAACGTTAAGAGTAGTGAAACCTGAGAGTTTCACTTTTTGGTTGGGTTTTTTTTTGGTTGTAAAAGTACATCTTTCACTAACCTGTTCCCTGAATTGCTGCTGAGATAGACAGTCAGTCACATTAACGCAGCCCAGCAAGCAGCCAGTGGGATAGTCTTTAGGAAACATGGGCCCTGTGGAGATAAGACCAGGATCACTGAATCAACAATGTGTGGAATTAAAAGCAATCAGTATCACTTTATGACAGCAACATGACAGAGCCCAGTTTAGCATTAATATTACTTGTATCAGCGCTAAATTATGATACCAATATGACATGTTATTAACAGCATTTTATCATGCCCATGAAAAGAAAGTTGTGCTTGTTAGCAAATTTAAACAAATATACTTTTCTGCTAGAAATACTTTACTGTGTGCAATGAAAAAGTTTATTAAATATGCCCTAAAGACACTATGTCCTTTCACAGCTTTCACAGAGAAAGGCCAAAGCTTGGCAATAAGATCCAAAGGGCCTATTACGAAACCTAGCGCTAATGTTGTTACAACAGCCTTTAAAAGGGCCCACACAAAGCTACTGGGGGCATTTTTAACATAAATATTTCTATATAATTTTTTCCTGAGCCAAGGAAAGCATTACCCATGCATTATATTTTGTAGCAGCTTTTTTTCTATCTTCAGCAGCACCATATTTAAATCTGTTTAAACCAGAAATACATTTTTAGTATTCACAATATGATTCCTTTGTACAGCATCTGCACCTTTTTTATAAATGTGGCGATACATGGCTTCCACCTCTGCGATTTCTTGAGGGGTGGGCTTCTTTGCTGCAGCTGCAATCCAAAGTCGCCCACGGTGTGACGTGTACCACGTTCGTCCTTCTACCCTGCATACACACATAAAATGTCACATATTACAACACTTTGCCAAAACCCAAGTGTCTATAGGAGTTTATCATATATACACAACACACACACACACACACACACACACTGCACAGTCCTTACCTCTTGATGCCCTTTACCAGTAGCGAGGCCCACGGTTGGTGCATGCTGAGGCACCAGCCGCCATCGGACATCTCCTGCAGCTCTTTGTCTTGGAGCCTCAACCGGTGTCTTTCTTCTCTTCCCTTGTCCTCCATTGCACTCTTTCCCTTCTCCATTGGTTTCTTGTGGCTTTCACTCCCTCCAACATCAACCCACTGAAATAAGCATTCGTTAGAAACATCAGTAGAGTCTGTTTCAATGCTCACTGTTTTGTGATGGGTTAAAGTGCAGAGCAAACTCAAGGGATTTGACTGATATTTCATTTGAATTTATAAAATAATACAAATGACTAAAGAAGAATGATTAAAGAAGAAATGCCACGTTCAGAATGGATCAAGTTACCTCTGGCGCAGATTGCATTATGTTGGGATTCACCAAATCTCTGAGGCCCTGCCGTCCACCCTTTCTTTCAGAATACATTGGTGATTTGGACACCGATTCATTGCTCATTGCCTTGAGGGTCTCATCCAACCTGCAAATTATTGGAAACATTTCAGAAAGTCTGGCTGTTTAACACAACCACATAACATAAATCTGGAATTGCTGTTGTGATTCAGGTGCTGTCAGATTATCTTACTTGTTGTAATACTCATTCAGGTTGTTTCCCTCTTCAATTACTTGTCTACCAGCAAAGTCAAGTGTGATCTTCCTGTCTTTGCGAGAGGCATGGCGAAGCTCTCTCAGCTCCCCTTCCTTTTTCTTCAGTTTCTCTCGCTCATTGGGTGACAACCACTGATTGGATTCAGTGGCAAAGTAATCAGACTCGTCATCCAGAACCTGTGTTCTTCTGATACTGGGGTTAAAGGGAGGCAGTGAAGTGTTATTACCAACTTTCATCACTATCTTCAACAGCAATCAAAATGTCCTGTTAAAGTGTAAACACTGCACACAGAGCAGTAAACCTATCCATTCTTGTAAAGCTCTTTTCTTAACTGTGTGTTTTATGATACCTATTTCTGTCATATTCCAGCAGTTTGTCTTTGTGCTGAATTGCTTTCTCCAGCCCAGCCTTCATCGTGGCCTCTTGGTGTGAGAGATATTCTCTTTCTCCGAAGTCTGTCACCAAAATAAAAACAAACTCACAGTATCAAACCAGTTGATCTTTTCAAAGAGTTTCTTTTCATAAGTCCTGACTACTTAAGACCCTCACCGCCCATGAGCTTCTTTCTTAGTTTCTGGCTTTTGTTGGAGTCTCGTTGGAGGATCTCCTGTTCTTCTTTTGTGCAGACCTTAATCAGAAAACACTTTTAGCACAAGAAGAATGACAAAAAAAGCCCCAAAACAGCAACGCAATCTAAGGACTTAAAGTGATATGTACCAGGCTGCCACAGAAGAAACAGGGTCCTGAGCCCTCTTGCTCACACACAATACGGCCACAGGTGATGCAGTTGTTAATAAGCTTGTGCTTTTGGGCAAGGCATTCACAAGCATGCCGACCTGGGAGTAACACAGCCAGCCTGTCCTGACCCTCTTTAGCGTAGAGATTGACAAACTTTGTTTTCTTCTTTGATGATGATGTATTACTATTTTCCTGGGCCTGAAGAACAATTGAATGAAGAGAAGTAGAAAGGAAGACATCTGTTTAACAAATGAACACAACAATAAAAATGGCACAGGACATGTACAAATAAACATGATATTGATATCAGTTACAAGTTTGGATCCCGCTTTTTTTTTTTTTTTTAAGGATTCTTTATTATTTTTATTCTTTTTTGTATCAGAACGCAGAAATATCACCTGAATATATGAAGAGAAAACAAAGTTTACTTTAAATTATTCAAAGCAGGATTTGGGATGCCATAAGCAAGATTCTATCAACAGGCCATAAAAAGATAAAAATGATTAAACATTAAAAAGCATGTCTGTGACTCAGCCCTTCATGACTGAATAGCAAAAGCAAAATCCACTACTTTAAACAACAAGAAACAGAGTTACAAGTAATTTTAGAAGTCTGCTCATTACTGAACTGGATATTACACCAGTGGAAATCCGTCCGTTGCTTTGATGAATGCAGTTTTATGTCTTTGTTAGATATGGATATTGTGAAAGGCTGTGAATGCACTGAATTGACACACCATCCCATCTGACTACCATATTAAGTTACTTCACAGGTTTGATGTCCATATTGTTCTACAATGTAAAAAATATTTTTAAAAAAATTAAAATAAAACAAAAGAAAGAAGAAAATCATACACTGATGAGTAGGCATGTCCAAACGTCTGACTGGTATTTTATAAGTTCTGTCAATTTGGTAACAAATTATCTCCATAAAGCAGGTGAGAAGACAACAAAAGTGTGGCATTATTTGTACTCACCCTCATCAGATCAATGGGGGTTTTTACAGCTTCTGGCACAGGTTCTGCTTGGCTCACGGTCATCACCTCCTGTTTGTTGCGTCCTTTTCGTTTAGATTTCTTCTGGGTATCTCGGGTCATATCTTGTGCATCTAAAATATTTTTAAAAATTACCTTCATCAACGTTGTTTCAGAGCAACTGGGGTGTTTTTTTACTGTAGTTCCTTTTATGTAGTCTATCTGAATGAAATTTGTTTCTTACCTGGTGATGAAACAGATTCTTTGAGAATGAAAAGACCTGTGGTATCTGCTGCCTGTCTTTGAGTCTTCTTCCATCTGCTGAGGAGCTCGTTAATGAACTGCCCCTTTTTCCCATCTGTACCCTGCAGGAGGTCTCCCACATATTCCTCAATCTCTTCAGCCTTCTCGATTGATAGAATATATCTTGGAAATACAACAGCACAACTTCATTTATTGACGTTTCTATACAAATTCATTGCCTAACATTTTAAAAGACCAGAAATAGCGACGAACTGTCATTTAATTATCAATTACTTTTAAAATATGTGTCTTTCAGTAATTTTAGAAGTATGCTAATATATCAGGAGCTTAGGTATAAAAAAAAGCATTTGTACGAATGTGTGTGTGGTTGGGTGAACGAAACTTGTAGTAATATATACTGTAGCTATATAAATACCAGTCCATTTACCATATTAGTCCACGAAAAGCTTTTCATAGTTGCTTATTGGTTAAAGTTGCTTATTTTAGGGTACACGTTTATGCAGTTCTTAATCTCTGTCTTTATGATAAACTATCAGCTTTCAGGCTGTTGATCTGATGGGTGGACTCTAACTTTGCTTGGTTTAGTGTCCATATCATTTGCTTATTACCTGCCAAATGAAAAACGTTATGATTTCTCAACAGAAAACTATGTTCACTGTTTCGCTTACATACACTAAACCATGTAAACCACGTAAACCATGTGTGTAGATTTTTAATAGTTAAAATCATTAAAAATACATAAAGACACAAAGTCCCACTCGACACTTGTCATGTAGAAAAAGGTTTAATCTGACTTTTTAGCCAAAACAGCTTGTTCACGGTGAGCCACTAAATAGTCAATACACTGGCATACAGCTGTAGTGTCACAATTAATTAGCTGTATCAAAAACGACAACGACACGTCATATACATACATAAGTACACCATAGCGCAGCTTAGCTTACTAGTTAGCTGATCTGCAGATGCTACAATTAGCCAGACGGCAGACAGTAATAACAGGCAGGTAAAATTTTCTTACTGGACGATTTCTTCACCCGCCTCCAATCCAAACTTGTGATGTAACTGTTCCACACACCACTGCAACAACTGCTCCGACATTTTTACCAGATGACAGGCTCCACACCTTCAAGTTTAAATCAAAGAGACCGGCGTGTCAAGCACAAACTTATAGCATAAACGTGTTTCCAGTCGGCGAAAAAAACAAATGCGCACATAACATTGGCGTTTACCGGGAGTACGTGGCAGAATCCCGTCCTGAAACAACTCGTGCTGTGGTGTAAAGGTTCCACCTGACCAAACAGCAAAGTAAAATAAAGAAAGAGGGGGAAAAACACTTGTGTAAAATCATCTGTCTTTAATTGTAACTTTCTTTAATTATACGCGGGTGTTAGTGAAACTAAACACTCCTTTATCAGTGAAATACGGATTGGTTGCACTTTTGAGTTCAATCACTAGATGGCAGGTTTGCAGTAACTTTAAATACACAAGCTTTAGCTGTTGCTTAAATCGACAGGTTCCACCGAATAGTCCCACAATAGGCTTATACCTGGCATAGGTTATTATCGTACATGAGCCAATCAAGGTTATGCCTGAAGTGACTGTATTATTAGTAAAACAAGTATATAACAAGACTATAAAGTATAGTCATCACCAGTCTGGTTTCAATGACTCCAAATAAAACAGAGATGTAATTAAGATTTTTATTCACTGTTATTACAGTTTATCAGTATTATCATTATTTGGTATTATAACTCAAATTTTTATAATTTTATTATTTATTACTGATTACTACTGAACACTTTTTTTTGGCTGTAGGAAGACAGTAAGTCCTCCACTTGTGAGGTTTTATTTGTCATGGCCCTGAGTCAGTGATCCAGAGTTTATGTTTTGGATTGCTTTGGATCTGAAATAATATTCTAAATTTAGTGTTTTGTTTTGTTTTTTTGCACTTTTGTGTTCTTATTTGATCATTTAGTTTCTGGTTAGGTTGTAGTTTTTCGGTTCTTCGTTATTATTTCGTCTAAAGTGTGTTTCGGTTTGCCTTCAGTTCTTTGTGATTATAGTTCTCCCTCCCTCACTGCCTACTCTTCTCTTGTGTTTAGTAAATCTTGTATCTGTGTTTTTGTCTCCCAAGTCACTGTGCCAAGCTCACATGTCTATTAATTTGTTTCCCTGTCGTGCCTCTTGCTACCCCCTGCTCCCTGTTTAGTCAGTCTGTGTCTCAGTGCGTGCCTCTTGTTTCCTGTTGAATTTTGATAGTCTTCTGTCCTGTGTTTAGTGTATTCAGTTTTGTCTGTCATCCAGGTCATCGTAGTCAAAGGAGCTTGCAAAGAAAAGCGTCTGGACTTCTTTAAGTTACTTGAAGACGTTTCACCTCTCATCCGAGAAGCTTCTTCAGTTCTAAGGTCAAATGGTGGAGAGTCCCAGATATAAACCTAGTGGGAGTATCCCCCCACAGCCCACAGAGGGACAAAAGGACCCCCTGATGATCCTCTAATCGCCTGAGCCAAGGTGTGAAACTGGGTGTGGATCCCAATCAGCCAGAGTTTCGGGTGAGTTCATTGTGAAACCTGGCCCCACCTTATCATGCGAATTCCTGAGATCAGATGGCCCAGGATGTGAGTGGGCGTTAAGGCGTCTGGGAAGGGATCTCAAAACTGGATTATAGATGGCAGAGAGTTGGTGTCGTAAACCACCGCCTCTGTTCAAAGATGGTCGCTCACAGTGGACATAGATGGCTTCTTTCACTCCTCTTTCAAACCATCTGTCCTCTCTGTCCAAAATGTGAACATTGGCATCCTCGAAAGGATCCCCTGATGTAGAGGATCATCAGGGGGTCCTTTTGTCCCTCTGTGGGGGGATACTCCCACTAGGTTTATATCTAGGACTCTCCACCATTTGACCTTAGAACTGAAGAAGCTTCTCGGATGAGAGGTGAAACGTCTTCAAGTAACTTAAAGAAGTCCAGACGCTTTTCTTTGCAAGCTCCTTTGACTGTATTCAGTTTTGCTTCCTCTCTGTCTCGTTATGTGTGTTTAGTCCCAGCTGTGTTCCCGCCTGTTTCTCCATCCCCTCCTTATCCTGGATGTGTATTTAAGTCTTCATTCTCCCTCTGTTTATTGTCCCGTTCTCCTTATAAGGTGCATGTTTAGTTATTGTTTCATGGTCTGCCGTTTACATCTAGTCATGAGACTGAACAAACCAAAGTAAGAAAATAAAAACTACTTTAAAATCTTTTATTCAAAGAAAGAAAAGCGTGAAAAATAAATGATGGTCAGACTGTTTTGAGTTCAACTTAATTCAGCCAGAGCAGGAATGGGAATAGGAAACTAACTACATTAATAAAATACATCAGCTCCTTGGCTCACAGCTAGCGAGATCCCACCAATCTAAAATCTAAAATGAAATCTAAAATTAGCTAACAATCTCTAATAAGCTACCATAGATTAGTTTATGTTTTTGACGCTATTGATTAAATAAATTACAATCAAAACATGCTTTATATGCCACAGCAACAACCCCATATTAGAACAGTTTTGCACTTATTCTAATTTTCACGTTTTATATTTGCATTTGATTTGTGCCATGAAGCAATGTTGTTTTTGGTCTTATTCATTAACAACTAATCATGCTTCTGTGTCAAATGGTCAGTGAGCATCAAGACTCCAGTCACTGCTGGCAGAGACAGGATTTAGTACAGCCCAAGTTTTATTATTTTTATTTATCAAAGCTTTCATTTACTAGCTCAACATGGCCGCTCTATGGAAGAGTAGTGGCTTCTCCTAGCAAACCAGCACACAAATTGGTTAATTGTGAGCCCTTTATACCCTGCTACCACACCTTGTTCATAACCTGCCTGGCGTTTGTCCACACTTTCCAAAAAAGACAATTAGCCATGGAAACATTTACATATAATACTTTGTAGTAAAAACTAACTAAAAACACCAAATGTCAAGCCAAATGAACTGTCTGGTGAATATATAAAACATGCAGGTGTTCACTGCACTTTGTGTTGTTGCATTCTTTGGCTCCGTACCTTTTCATTGGGTTATTACAATTATTCCAAATAAATTTGGAAACTGAATGAAATGTAAATAAAACAAATGCAACAATTTGGAAATCATCTAAATCCTATATTTATTTATTTTTTAGAATAGTACAAATGTTAAGAATTAAAAGTGGGGGGACTTCATGGTGTCATGGTGGCGAGAGTAGCAGCATAAACAGGAGCTCCTGCATTGATAGCTAAAATAATCCGCAATTCAAGAATATAATCCATTAAAAGCGACTTTCCCCTCAAGAATAATGAGCGGAGATAAAAATAAGAAGGGACGAGCCCCAGGCCGAAGCTTAGAAACGCGACTTGAGAGTAAGGCTGGACTGGGACAAAAAACCCGGGCATTTTGACTAGAGACCGGCCCACCAGGATAAAGATTGAAAATGTGACGTCATTCAGGGGTAAAACCGCAAAGGATTCTGGGAACTTGTGGCAAGAGGTACTAGCGCA